CTGGCAGAGGAGTTGGCACATTATTCTTGCTTCATGACATTCATATCACTAGGTACATGTAACAGCTTTTGATAGTCTTATGTTTGGTAAATTTCAGAATTTTAGATTGAAAAATACCTCAAGTTTTTCAAGACTGACAGTATGCATTACGGTTTCTCCTAATTGCGTGTTCATTGCAGTGTTGAATAATTCTATATAACTCTTTGTTGATTACTGAAACAATATCTAATATACTCCAGATAAATCAAGTCAGATGTATCCAAAACGCCTATAAATGAACGTCTATATCCTTCAAGTGATTTATCCCAATTTATTATAAGTATGGGTTAGCTGTACAGACTCATACTTCTCGATTAATCCTGACTAAAGAGCATTTCAAAAACCGAGCCACACAATAATCCGGACTACATATATCAAACAGGAGATACAAAATAATGAATGAAGCATTAGACGATCATTATCAATCGAAAACTTGCATTCTAGAGTCGCTTGCTGGCTATTGGTATCAAATGTAAAACAAGAGCATTGATTTACTTTTTTTCATTTTTTCCAAAAATATTCTCAATATTTTTGTATTGAAAATATAATTTTGGTATTGATATTTTGGTATCTCTTTCCAATGATTCCAATATTGTTCCATTTATAAGCAATCCACAAAACTTAAAAAAAGTATTTAAATAACCTAGTTTAAGATTACATATATTCAAAATGTACAATTTCCTCTTGATTATTAAGTATTTTAAAGGAGATGGGTGAACATGACGAGCGATAAGCCTACAGTGTGACAAACATGAAGATGAGAAAATAAATTTTAATTATATCAAAATTTTCTTTGACATGTCGTCTAATATTAAAATATACTTTCTGTAAAATCTGTACAATTTGCAAAAATCCCTCAAAGATTGAAATTATTTGCCTGTAAAATATTAGACACACACTAAAGCGGGCAAAAAGAGTCATTTTCTCATACTATAACACTATTTTTCGATATGAGTGGGTCTTCGCTCCACCTTTTTGAAAGTTAATCCGCAAAGTTTGCATAAAAATATACATTTTTTGATTACCAAAAATATGGAGCAATGACCCACTATACCTTAAAAATATACTTTTATGACATAACATTCGCATCTTTTCGAGAAATACTTGAAGTCCATTAAGTCAAGGGTCAAATCACAAACATGATTTAAATGCCACTCTTCATCAGGACTTGTGTAGTCTAGTGGTTAGCGTGCTAGTCTCGAAAGAAAATGATACTTAGGATTTTTATTGCTAGGGTTCGAACCCCACGAACACCACATTAATTTTTTTTAATAAAAGAATAAATTTTGCCAAGAAAATTTTTCTCAGAAAAGTTTTGTTTATCATAATTTCATAAATTTCAATAATGAGAACTTTACTCTAAGTACAAAATTCACAAACTGAACATGATTTTTATATTTCTGAAGCTATAGGCTTTCTGCACGCTATGTTCGCCCATCTCCTTACTGGAAAAATAGAAATCCCTATATGCCACCATGAGAACAGGTAAAAAAGGAAATTAATTGAATTCAAGATAGATTTGAAATAGATTTATATTATTTATATTTACGATCATATAAAATCAATTCAACATGTACAAAGACAGAATCACAACGTTAAGTCCATCACCATCGTCATCATCTACGATAAGAACAAATATACTGTCAATATATATAAGAGCCTTTCTTAAGTCAACAATTGGAAGAAATTTGATATCAACGATTTTACCGTCCACATACAACATTCCTTCTTCTCATTGAAAATAAGCACAATTTTTCAAAAACACAAATCAGTCAAAATTTATCCTTAGATATAATCGTTTTTTCTATACTATTGTACAAGTAACTTACCCCATATAATATTGTTGATTATGTGCAGATACGATGGCCGTGGTCATAGTGACGACTCGGCAACTACGCTCCTTCATGTCATTATGACCACATCCACCGGGTATCTGCACATAACCAACAATATCATATGGGGTAACTATTACTTGCAGTACTTTTCCCGTATAAACAACGCCATATTCGCTCCATTGTTGTACTTCTGTAGGAAGATATGTACCTGAAACTGAATAGCCCCCGCAAGAGATTCTGGTGACCTCATCGTGAAGCAGATCTTGAAATTCTCCGTATCCCTACCAGTTCAAAAGAAGCATTGTTACCCTTACAAAAATTTACTATAGTTAACTTTATACCATCGTGTTCAACTTCCCTCAATATAATTTATTTTCTCCATCACCTTAGCTCAGTTGGTAGAGCACTCGCTCCGTGATCGGGAGGTCGTTAGCTCGAATCTCGGCTGCGACTTTCCTAAGTCGATAAAAAAAAAAAATGGGTAGCTACTGTTCCTTCGCAATGCGCTCGGCACTTTGAAGTGAAAGTTGCGGGTCCTTCGGATGAGACATTAAAAACTGAGGCCCCGTGTCACGATAAAGATCCCTCACTGCTCAATGGCCCTGAGTGCCGAGTAAATGTCAAAATTTGAAGCCCTTCACCGGTTTTTTTTTTTTTTTTTTTTTTTTTTTTTTTTTTTTTTTTTTTTTTGCAAATATAACAGCAAACTATTTGTCGTAAATGGGCATTTATTAGAGTGCCAAACAAATTAACCAAATATGTACAAAAATTACACATGCCCATATTTCAATATATCCCTTATAAGGATATTAATATACATAAGGTAAAAAATATGACTAGAAGAATTGGCAAAAAAGATGGGAAAACAAACACGCCACAAACTTGTCGATAACCTACACTGTAAACAGAGTATAGTAAAGTGTCAGCAAATATTGATGAAACTTTACTATAAAACAGAATATAATATTATGTCATCAACTATGGTGACAGTCATACTTTTGTAAAATGCCCCATACAACTGTAATTGTTTTACACTGTAAACGCAATATGATTGAAAAACATCAACAATACCACCCCAGACCATTGTAATGATGGAAACTGTTTAACACTTTAAAGAGGATATAATACAAGATCATCAACTATGCCATCTCAGACAGTCATACTGATGTTAATTGTTTTATACCATAAACAGAACATAAAAAATCATCGACTATGGTGCGTCAGACTGTCATACAAATGTAAATTATTTAACACTGTTAACAGAATATAATAAATATCCATCAACTATGCTGCCTCAAACAGTCATTCTGTAAACAGCTAGAACATAAAAAAAATCATCGACAATGCTGCCTCAGACAGTCATACTAATGTAAATCATTTTACACTGTAAACAGAATATACTTAAAAATCATCAACTATGCTGCCTCACAGAGTCATACCAGTGTTAATTGTATTTCAATGTAAACAGAATTTAGCAATTCATTCTTTTGCTTTTAAAATATTTTTGCTCTTTATATGGAGTGAAAATATACACCGTAAGTCATAGCAAGTATGTTTAAGGTGTTTAAACTATAGCATGGGATACTGACAATGGTACAGAACGTTGTGAACATGATAACCCATTGTCAAAAGTATGATTTTAAGATAGATTGTCGGATCAGTAAGTAAATATTCTTATTAAATGACCTTGATTCGTACTATTGCAAAATTTAATGTCAAATTCTAGATCATTTGTTTAACAAAACAATATATTTGTTTCATATTTTGAACCCAGGTATGATTTAAACAACTAGTGTGAAAAGGCACGTCGTCCACTTCTGAAGAAAAAAACCTTCACATGGAAATTTTGAAATGCATATCAATTTTCAAATTTACATTTCAGAATTATTTTGCAGCAATAGATTTTGTTTCAGAAAATTATATTTATATACATGTGCCAATTAATTAATGAAAACTTGTAAGTAGAATTAAAATAACTTTTTAAAATTAAAGGATAACGTGAAAAGATACTTTAACTCATTAATTTAAGATACTTTTTTCAAGCGACCATTCCATTTTTAAATGCCGTTTTCTATATTAATGATCACAGCTAACATATGCAATTGCATTTTTTTTTTGGGGGGGGGGGGGGAGCACAATTTTTAGTCAAAGATATATAATGAAATATTCTCACACTGGACTCAATTTTCACCATTAAGACAAATATAAAATAATACTGAAACTGAGTCATTGATTTAAACGCCTCGATTAAGTTGGCTTTATTAATGAAAATTAAACATGAAATACAAATGTCGTTGTATTTTTGTTGCAATAGCAAAATTCTCAGGTCCCTTGGCAATCAGGATACTTCTTCATAGCTTGAACACAGTTTTAAACAACAGAGATCACCCTTATGCAACATTGAAACATTATTCTAACGATAGATTTCTAATTCCTCTATTCACAATGAAACAAAACATATTCCATATTATATAAGGACAAATATTTGCAAACTTTTTTCAGACTTGTCAATTTCAAAATCTTAAATTAGTACATAAAATATTACTTGGTGAAGTAAAATACATATATTTCAGTTTCAAATAGTTTGTACAAGAAGTGAAGCTTCTTTAAAGGTTGTGATTTAAAGGTCATTTGTGATGGCAAAGCCTACAATATAGTGAATATGTAGTTTAAGCATTATCTAGCAAGGGAATCTTTGTTTATTCCACATTAAGGATACAACTAATCAGTGTCTTTTTTAATGATTTTTAAAATAAAAAATGATCGAGTTGAATGACATACAGTAACATATTCAGACATTACATGTAATATGTAAAATCTAACACTAAATACAGTAAAAACGCTTATAAGGAAGTATCAGGGACGTAATATTTTGCTTTGTTATCAGCATAATTCTTTGTAACTGTTAAGTTTACAATATATTTTAAAGTCAGGGGGAATAAAAATCACTTCGATGTAAGTTTTTAATTCATTATAATCGTGTTTGGTATAAGTGTGTTTTACTGTAAATAGAGAAAAAAAAGCTTAATATGCATTAAACTGAAAGCTTTATTGCAGAAATAACATAATTATAATCAATGGAAATTCACAATTATTAACCATGTAATTTTTTTTTTTTTTTTTAAAGATTTCAAAAATGATGTTTAAAGTATTACACTGTCATCTTTGTTTTACTCAGACCTCTCTACACCAGCCATGTTCTCACCGTCCCTTTCACAAACTGCCGACATATTGGACATTTCCTCATAGCCGGGGCACAGTCTAGACAACAGCAGAGATGACCACAAGGTAGCATGGCGATAGATGCGTCGTTCTCAAGACAGATTTTACAAAGTCGGAGATCTTTTAGTTTCCTGTTTTCTTCAATCAAAGACTTGGTGTCTGAAATTAAAATTTCAAATCAATTATTATAAGAGTGAACCCAGCAATAAGATTTTTAAAGAAAGGTAAGCAATTTAATTGGAATTAACAAATATGAATGAATATATTCCATGATTAAAGTAAACATACCTTCTATTGAGAAGGATGACAAGGAATTGTTCGAGCAGTCGAGAGAACCAATAGTAGATGGAGAATCTTTTGCACCTGAACATAATCAACAGTTACACAATTTAATTTTCAAATTTTGTTAAAAAGTTATGCCCCTATACAATTTTTAAAGTTAAAAAAAAATCACCCATATGAATCATTTTTGAAATCAAAAATTTACCGTGGCTTGTTCAGTATCATACTTTTATTTTCATTATATCTGTTAATCTTCCTTATTAATTATGCATAGATGATCAAAGACATTGAGTTTGTTATTATTGATTACCGCTCGTGGAACCTATATTTGAACTGTCTTCCTTTTTAGTGGATTCATTTGTATGTCCAGTGTCATTTCCTTCCAAGAGTTTGGGTTCAGAGTTGCGAGTAGCAGATTGGATATCTGGTCTTGTACTGTTTTCCTCCTTAGACAGAATGACGTCTATCAAGTCTTCTCCTGAGATTTCTTCTACATCTGGAAATATAAATTCAACACAGTTGAAACAAGACGAACAAAGAGTCAATGAGATTAAAACAAAAAACCCTGTTCGATTGTTTTAAAGTTTTAATAATTTTTTTTAAAAATCTTTTGCATTGTTTCAGATAGAAGTTTAAATACGTTTTGTCATTCTCAGGAGATCAAATGCTTCCTTCACAGCCTGTCGAGTGTAACCCATTTCAAGAATACTCTGAACAGATACTAAATCGAAAATGTCAGAAGCTGTTGTGTTCTTTTCTTCTGTTCCTGTTGATTTATTGTTGCTTCTACATCTGGTAGATGTTGCACCCTCTTCTGCGTTCATGGCCTCCTCTGATGCCTCCTGTAAATTTCCATTTATTCATTAATTTTTCATATGAATAACTCACAAAACAAACATATTATTTTACGTTTCCATTGCATTTAAATACATTTATACGGTAAAACTATTTAGTATTATTTTTGGCAATATAGTTTTCTTCATTATTCCTTACCGTTTCGTTATGTTCAATTTGCACTAGTGCAACAAATTCGTCTCCTTTGTTCTGTCTCAAGAAAGCACACTTTGGAAACCATCTGGCATGTTCAATCCAGGGGTCATCCCCTGGTTCCCAATTACGTAATCCACCACCACAGAAGAAACAGCGGGTGTAATCTCCGTACCCCACGTATAGAAAACCTGCCAAAGCGAGATCACGTGGAGTTTGTGTTATACTTGATGGCCAGTCATTAAACGAACTCACTCTTGTTGCGACAACTGCATAAGCAGGGTACTTCGGACGGTCAAAATTAATTCCAAGTGGGTCTAAGCTTCTCAGAAAGACGTTGATTTTTTCTTGTAATGCTCTAGATCTTTGAAGAGGTCTTTCCCTCTCTTGTCTCTCTAAAGATTTGAGGTTGAACTCGTCTTCTTGTTGACTAGAGTTGGAAGCAGAATATGTCGGCACTGAGTAACCTGTATTTTCTCTTAGCCTAATTTCATTGTTTGACATTGACAGTGTTGAGTTCTGCAAAATGTTTCCTTCTCCTGTTTGAATGACGTGTCCCGAAGTCGATTCGCCACTATCTCCTCGTGGTTGTATTTCCATTTGGCTGCTTCCAATATTCTCTCCTTCTTGTATAGGAACATTTTCAGATTGACAAGAGTTTAGAAATGGACAATTCGGCGACAATCGAATGTGAATCTCTCTGGGATCATCAGCTGCTCTCCATCCATCTCGATGCAAGCCACATGCAAAACAGGCGACTTTGTCTCCTTCGCCAGTGTAATAAAAACCCTCTTTGGCAAGTCTTACAGTAGACACAGAAGTTGTCTGTGGGAAATTACTAAAGGTGCTAATACGAATCATTTCCATATTCATTGAATGTGGATTTCTTTCTAATGGTGCTGAATTGAGAGGATTGATAAATTGAGCTGAATTTAATTCTTTTTGAACGTACTCTTCAAAATTGCTAGAGCAGTCGAAGAGAGGGAACGCTTTAATAATTGTTCTATGCACCAAATTTACACAGTTGAAGTAATCTTCATACAAAAATGGAAATAATTTCTGCAATGAAACACGTGTGTTTGCTAGATGATATCCCTGTATATTTTTCAAATGTTTTTCTGAATCATCCTGGTCTAATTCATTAAGACAATCATTCATTAAACTCTTAACACGGATTGTTTGTGCCTCCTGATCTTTGCTTTTTTGATGGCTATTTTTCTTGTTATTCTTGCAGTTAGCACACAATGTGCATTTTCTAAGCTCTGCAGCATCCAGTACGAGACATGCAATTGCTAGTATTAAATAAGTATGAAAATTTACTGAAATCTTTTCTGTTCCAACTTTTTCTTTGTTTTTTGTTGCTATGCTAAATGTAGGTTCAAACTGAAGACTTTTACTCCTTATTCTCTCTTTTTGGCGTTGATCCTGTCCATTGCTTTCCGATAAACATCGTCTCAAAGGCTGCATACCGGTTGTTTTGGTCATTTTTCTTTTTACTACAAAACAAGTTTTATTCCATTAAAAAATCAAATAAAAGCACTTAAGCATTTTAAATATTGCACCATACCATTATTAAAAAAAATAGTTATTTCAAAGAACATTAGAAATACATAAAACTGTCCGAATTACGTATTTATCTAACATAAATGAATAATGAATTATAGATGTAGAAAAGTTTTTAGAATAGTTTCTATTATTTATTAGTCACCGGTTTCAAAAATATAAGGCAAAAAGTTATAAGATTTGTTTATCCTTACGGCTCTCATACTGTGAAAGTAAAGACGAATTTCCCTTACTTATATGGTAACATATTGTGACGAATTTTGAAATTTTTATCGTAATATTTTATTTTAAGGCATTTTATAAAGCCTGGCAATTCATTTAGTCTCAGTCTGGTAATTCCCCTATGATATAAATAGATGTTTATATAGTGATAGATAAGAACATATACCTGTATCTTGAGTAAAGTCTATTTATACAATGTAAACAACGCTTTTAGCAAGGCTGTCGAAAAGTGGGGTGTTTTAGGTGCGATTTCAACCCCTTTTTTAAATAAAATATTATTTTTGAAACATGTTAAATTCACTATTTATGGGTTGGAAGTAATAATGCTAGATTTCATTTATTTGGCTTGGGTAAAAAGCTGAGTGGAGTGGAGTGGAGTTTTGTGGAGTCATGGAGTGGAGTTTTGTGGAGTCATGGAGTGGAGTTTGTACATAAAGTTAAAAAAAAATCACCTAGAATTGTTTTTCATAACAAAGGCTAGGTAATATGACACTGCAGTGCTATCCCAAACAGACAAACCTGGTAAGAGGTGTTGGCAGCTTTAAAATCAAACGGATAGATAGCAAACAACTTCACTAAGGATTGAATTATTATAATGTTTAATTACTTAAATAACTGGTTATTTATTTATTTATCTATTTGTTTTGTTTTTTGGGTTTTTTTTTTTTTTTGGGGGGGGGGGGGGGGTTTACTATTAAAGTGCAAGCTACCCTCTTTGTTGATATTTGAAGGTCAATCTTTTTCTGTATCTCTATTTATTGTTTGTTATTTCTCATTTTGTGTAACTATTTACATATCTCCCTCTTCGGGGCGGGGGCGGGTGTGGTATCGGTAAATTGCAAGAAGCACTACAGAAGCTTAGATGTACAGACCCTGAGACATGCTACTACCCCCAAAAAAGGGTGTGACTTTCGTGCACTTTTCGTTTCTTGCAAACCGTGTAGCGTGAGTTTGGGGTAGTAGCACATTTTAGGGTCTGTATTCATGGCAGTTGGAAAAAATATTCCTGTCATTGAACACAGTTCCCCCTCCTTCCCTCTCTCATTTCTGTATGCACCAGCTATAACTGATGTCTGTGATCCCTCAGACACTTGGAAACTCCCTGATTTCAGAATAAATGTTACAATTAGTCAGAAACCAGTTCATGTTGTATGAACCATATTGACAATGAAATGAATGAATGAATGATCAAACGAAAAAAAATCATGACCTTCAAATGTCAACTCAGCAATGGGAATAGCTTTTTTATTCTGGGTAGCAGAGACTAAGCGACCCACATGCACTCCCATCCCAACGGGCGAGGAGTCCTGACAGATTTAATTACTGCATTAGAAATGATTACTCAGTTGTTGCTTGTAAAAACAAATATGCTATAAAATGAACTGAATTATTCTTTTGTCAGCAGAAAAGAATCTAAAATTACAGTTGGGCATAGTTTACAATTTGGTATAAATACAATATATCAGAATTAGGAATGCAGTTAAAATAAAATCACACATTCAACACACAATCACTTTTTCAAGTTCGACAGTATCGGATCACATACATGTAGATACATGTTACCTAATAAAAATTTCATCGTTATTCAGGAATGATCACTGGGTTATAATTTTACAAAAAGAGAAATAGCTGTGGTGAAAAAAGCATTTAATAATTGATAAGATGTAATTAAATTTTGTAACACATGTTTATGATCAGATAATTGAGACCTGATTCTTCAATGGACAATAACGTCTCTGGATATTTCAAACCAAGGGCATATTTGCAGGAAAAACTTCTTAGACATTCTTTGAAATAGGGCAAATAATGCTCATAAGACGTCTTGGGTCTGTTTCACAAAAGAACTTATGACTAAGAGAAAATATAATTTTAAGATTATCTTTCTTTTTAACGTTGATTTGAAAATGTTTTTAATCCTCTAAAAATTAATTTAGATAGTTATCATTATGCAAGCAATTTCTAACAGAATAATTGATTTTGCAAGATTTTAATACATTATCATCTAAAGTGTTTGGTCTTAGTCGTAATTTCTTTTGTAAAACATGCCCCTGGTAATTGTTGTAAGGATTTTTTGAAAATAAAACTTAAGTTAAATAAGGTATATATTCATTCTTGTACCCAACAACAAAGACAAAGTAAAATAAATTTTAATGTAATGATTTTTGTAGCAAACCATATTATTTTAATAACAGAATTAAGTTGACAGCATCCTACTTGAGTCTTCTTTTTTAAAACAATGAGTAACCAAACACATTTCAGCATGATTATGGGGATCGACATTCTTTAAAGTTCCCATCCTCCAATTAAATTAATTCTGTCAGAAAGTCTTCACCATTATTTTCAACAAACAGCTGCATCAGTGAAACATGTACTGGTCGATAGACTGCACGTGATACATTGATCAGAAAGTTAACTCAACAGTAAGGATGTAATAATATGTTTTAAAAATGTTTTAGTACTACTTTTCATATATATAATTTCTGTTATGAGTCACATTTATAAAATAAGCTTTTCTTTCCAAATATTGGTGAAACTAATCATAGGTAAGAATCAACACACAGTCCCCTCCCCAAGAAACGAAGGTAAAAATTTTAAGAGTGAATAATACATCATTGTTTAAAATGCACAATGTGTACTTACAAAAATTTAAAAATAACAACATAAGTTGTTGGGTATATTTCGATAAATATTTTCCTTTTTGTCTCTTATAATTAATCCTTGACATATAACTTTGATAGACCCAGTTGACAAAATACATGTAGACTATACATTTACATTATGTAGCATTTCCCTTAATTTAACCAGAGAAAGGGAGATACATGTGTATGTTAATAAACAAATTAAGAGGAAAAGAATAGTGACCTTCAAATACATGTGTCAACAAATAAAGTATTTTGCACTTTAACAGTAAAACCAAAAAAAGGTATTTGAATTATATGCCTTTATAATTCAATTGTTGTTATCAGTTCCGCAGTGCAGTTGTTTACTCTTTCTCTGTTTGATATTAAAGCTGTCAACACCTCTTACTAGGTCTGTCTGATTTGGATAGGCGAGCAGGGTCATATATCTGAGCTTAGTTTAGATGTTGTTAATGTATTACCTAGTCTTTGTTTTTTAAAAGCATTTGTAGGTGATTCTCTGTTTGACATTTAAAGGTCATTAGTATTTGGCTGCATGGATTTCCTTTCTTTCTTGTTTCATTCTTGTTACAAATCCAAAATGACATTGAAGGGGAGAGATAGTATGCAAAAGAAATTGTTTTGTTCTCAAACTTTCTGTACTGTTATAATACAGATTCCACTCCGTAACTCCACAAAACTCCACTCAGCTTTTTACCCCAAGCCCATTTATTACGTATGAAAAAAAAAATGTCTGCACCAGAACCCTGCAAAAAAGTACTCATTTCTAAAAATAAATTGGCACGGAGTGGGTATGGCACTCCCAGACCCCTCTCGAAACCCTCTTTTCCAGAAATCTGGCGACGGCCCTGCTTTAGTTTAGAAATAGTTTTAAAATATCTTTTGGTAAGTTTCCAAGATTAAGACAAAAATAAGCACAGTTGTAAAAATGATCCGATTAATTATTTTTTAGTTTAATTGGACATCATTATATTGTAGAAAAAAATCTTTCTTCTATTTCAGTTCTTAACTAAGGGCTGATTGGGAACCAATTATGTATCTACCAGGCTTTAGCCGCGGAAATTGTAGACAAACGCTAGATTGTATTCTTTTATGATGATGTGCAGTAGATGAATGTTTACCATCTATTATTAAAGGATTTTTTTCTCCTTAAAAGGAATTAAAACAACCATGTCTAAAGTTAAAACATTTTAGCCTTCGTCTTTGCAGACATAAAAAAAATACAATATTTTCTTCTAACTTTAGAATATTTTGTTGATATTCATATTAGGCACGAGATTGTCAATTTGAACAAGTCTTTTTCTTATACTCGTCAATACTACAGTACATAACATTTTTATTTCCAACGAAAGCATATTATTCCGGAATTTTTAAAATATTCTTTATGAATTATCTATTTACATTATACAACCCGTCAATACTAAATTTAGTTGTGCTGAAAAGGATCGTATATACAATTGTATGTGTTAATTTTCTTTGTTTCTATAAAACAATTTTCATAAATTATTTTATTTAATTTTTGACATCATTAAAATTAAGAAATACAATTTTAATTTTTTCTGACTGTTCTCTCTGTAACTCTTGTCTAATATTCATAAAGTTCTTTCAACATGAAAATTATAAAAATATTGAATCGAATTTCAGACTTATTGATCCTCTCTAAGGGAATAATAACTGTTGAAATGAATTGACTGTATTTTATACACACTGTTTATTTGACCTAAATACCAGACAGGAAGAACGTAGATGTACATACGTATATAAACGTAAACATGACCTCAATATTAAGAACCGTTGTTGAAAACAAACGAATTAAAATACTTGAGTTTTACATACCCCTGAGGTGGCAAAAGGACTCTATGTTTTATTAAAAAATATTCTGAAATATTTATTGCATTTTATTGCGCTCGATTTTGTCCTCTATGAATACGCGTTCTATAAAATGACCTGGCGCATTACGCAATATTTCAATTTGTTAATGGTACCCAAAAGCACGTTTTAAAGATATCTATAGCCCATATATAATGTCTGTTGTAATATTATTTTAGACGTTGTGCAACAACAGTTTGATGTGTCTGTCTGCATATTGTCATCTAACATTGCTGAACTTTTAAAGACATATATCAAAATTATTTCCTCAAATTCAATTGTATGTAACACCAATCAACTGTCCACTCTTTCACAGTTTGAGAATCTGTTATTGATGCATTAGTAGTGCATTTCAGGAAATATCGTGAAGTGCTTGTAGCCAACACTGTATCAACTTGAAGCAACGGTTTCAATTGAGATTGTGGGAAGATAACTTTGCACCTGTAAGTCATGCAAACCATGGTAACCCATGGTAGTTGATTATTATAGGTTTAGAAAAAAAGAATCGAAAATGACGCTGGACAAAGACCAAGACAGTTTATCAGAAAGATATTTACCCTAGAGAAAGTTTTAGCGTAGAAACAAGAGGAATTGTCTGTTGGACTTGTCAAAAGGGATAGTTCTGCTGTTGAGGAGGAAGAAAATGGGGAGAGTTAAACTAGATTAAGAACGCTCCATCCAAGTGGAGACCATTTACAGGGGATCATTAAGAATACTAAAACAAGGGGGGAAAGAGAAAATTAGAAAATCTATTCATTCGATTAAAAATCCAAATTTATACATTATTAAAATTTGGATAGAGAGATTTTGACTCCTACTAGATACAGACAGTTTCTTTGTTCAGTTCCAATGTTTATTGGTCCGTAGCTAATCCTTCTAAATTGTACAAAGATAAGATGAATTTAAAATCTGTAAATGGCGCCTATTTCAACACTGAAGGATTCACTCAAATTGAATTTGTTGTAGGAGATCGAACAATGTCTCATCATTTTCTTTGTTCCAAAATATTAATGGATATTCTATACTGGGTAGAGACTGGTAAGTTCAACAAGTTTATTTTGATCTTGGGAAATTTACGAGCAGGAAAAATCACATGCCCCTATGATTGAAGATTAGATTTAGAATGCTGATCTGTACACAAGTAGAATTCAGTCGGTGGAGCGCTTGTCCGTGATCGGAAGGTCGTGGGTTCGAACCCCGGCCGCAACTAACCTAAGTTGATAAAAAAAAATAGGTAGCAACTGTTCCTTCGCCAAGCGCTGGGCACTTTGAGGTGAAAGTTACGGGTCCTTCGGATGAGACCTTAACAACAGAGGCCCCGTGTCACGGCTGGCGTTGGGACATTAAAGATCTCTCACTGCTCAATGGCCCTCAGTGCCGAGTAAAGGTCTAAAAATCTAAAAGTAAGACTTTTCAATACTTTATAAAATCATTCTCCACGATGAATTCAAGTCCAGGCTTTCTGACATCATTGACATGACATTTACATAGAAATGAAACTCGTAAATTTACCTTTTTATCACTCTTTTTTCAATAGAAATGGAACAATTTACTTACCTTGTCATTGATCATTTGCAAAATTGTTTTGGTAGAAAACATTCTGATTGTACACACAAGTACTCAAAGTTGATATTAAGTAGATGCTTGAATTTCTGATCGACAATATTTATGTACTTTTTTTAGATCAAATCTTCAAACAGTCAGTCGGAATTCCCATGGGTACAAATTGCGCCCCGTAATTAGCAGACTTTTTTGTATTCATATGAAGCAAAATGAATTTA